GGGGGGTGGGGGGGAGGGGAGCTGTTGGGAAGAGGCCACAGCTGTCCATTTTGTGCGATGTGATAAAAAAATTTAATTACAGAAAAACTATAACACACAACAAAATGAAATTAAATATGTGGAAAGACAAATGGTGGTGGAAGTAATGATGATGCTGCAGTTGTGGTGGAAAGACCCTGAGCCTGGTTTGTTGGTGACCATGTTCTTAGACACTGCCATAGGAGTCTTTTGATTTTGACACAATTACACAGTTCTAGTAGGTAATTATTCTAGATTCTAGTTCTAGTTTTAATTCTGGTTTTACGTAAAATCCCCCAATGACAGTTATATTATGTAACCCCATAACACTCACATAACTTGATAACTCACTTAGAAGCTGAGTCCGAATAAATAAAACATTTTTATTCAGACCCGAGTCTGAATAGATAAAACCCATAGTCAAACCTGTGTAAGACGGCCACCCATTGTCAAGGAGAAAAGTGGCCGTATAAGACAGGTGGCCGTCTTAGGCAGGACTGATCAAGATGAAGAAAACAAAACCATTCCCATCTGAGGTCCCTATCGAAAGTAGCTGCATTTTTGTTGTTTTTGTTGTTGATGGTGGTTTGTACTTTGTTCGTAATTTTTATTTTGTTGCTGATTTTGTGCAAAGGTGACAATAAAACGAAATGTATCAGACGAGGAAGACCGAGTGGCATGTTAAAACAAACACATGGGTCGCAACCACTCGGAGAACGAGCGACGCTTCTGTCACAAGTTCAAAATGACGTCCTTTGTTCTTTGTTACAGACTGGGTAAACAGTGACCACTCATCTCACTTACGATTTGTGTTTGAGTTCTGGGCGGGGCTTATGGGTTAAGAGGGATCACACGCTTACCTCACCAGCAGCCAAAAATTGGTACCTATTGATCAACAGTGGGAGGGGCCTACGCAACATGATCAGTTGGAGGGACTACCTAACAACAACGACAGGGGATTGAATTAGGACGGCTCGCCCACAATGCCAGGGGCCAAAGCACAATTTTTATGACAAAACGCAATGGAGTCACAAAAGTGGCCGTTTAAGACAGGGGTTATTGCTTAATGAGATAGGGGTTGTGTGTTAAAATATGGTGGCCGCGGCCGCGTTGGACAGGTGCCCGTTTTACACAGTTAAATTATATATTAAAAAACGCAAGGGGGAAATGGAAAGTGGCTGTTGGTACAGGTGGCTGTCTTATAGAAGTGGCCGTCAGGGCAGGTTTGACTGTATATGTACATGTATTTGGACTCAAGTCCGAATAGAGCTGGCCTACTAAAAATTGGAGTGATTGTAAAGATTCCTGCATTTAATTCCCATTTGCGTTTTTCATAGCCTCAGGCATCATGTTTCGCTTTCGTCCCTTCTTACCGGGAGAAAGTTACGGTTAACGTTAGGGTAAGGGTAAGGGACCAAAGCGAAACATGCCTGGGGCTATGAAAAACGCAAATCGAAATTTAACGCGGGAATCTTAACAACGCCAAAATTGGTATCTTTTCTTTGGGGCTCTTTAGATCTAGATTCTAGATCTAGTTGCTACAACCTTCTCAAGATCTAGATTCCAAGAGTTAGTATCAGGTAGAGTCCAGTCCACATCAAGACAGATCTAGAATCTTGGGCACTTTTTCGGTAGTTCACACCCCGCAATTGTTAACATGGAGCTAATGAGAGCACACTACACCGGCTTCTGATAGGCTGTATATTGTGACGTATGTACACATACCAAATTTGGTAATACAAAAATGACCTTAGGCCTAGTGGAACGTAGTCGGAAATCTAGGTCACCATTGAGCGAGCGAGTGTCTGCTGGTGATCTCTGTTGTAGAGCAGAGGCCAGGCAAAGATCAGTACAGATAAAAACTGGGTAGTTCACTAGTTTTTCTACCCCCTGTGTCAACTATAGGACATATTGTTCTAGTGCCTTGTTAATCAAGTCAATGTTAGATACGATACATGTAGTCTAAATGACTCTAGATCTAGTAACACATTTTAGCCAATCAGAAGCCAGTGTAGGCTATCGTCCTCGTGACGTCGTTTCATTGATATATTTTAGCTAATCAGAAGTTGGTGTAGTGTGCTCTCGTTAGCTCCATGTCAATTGTTATTTGCCGGTTTTGGCCCCAAGAGTAGGGGGTTAGAGGGGGGCCTGACCCAATAAAAATAGGTAGCGTCAATTGCCACTGAGTGATGCAGTGGCAATTGACAAAAATTGACTTTTTGTCAAATGCCACCGAGTGATGCGGTGTCAAGTCTGAAAACAACACTATCTTTAGCATTAGATCTAGATCTCTATACATAATGTGTGTCTAATGGGTCAATTTGTTCTCAACTAATTTCATTTGACGAGCATCTATTCTAGTCTAGAGCTACGGTACCAATTTGGCGTGTTTTCAATGAGACGTAGGCCTAGATCTAGGCTGGCCTTAGCCTACACTTTGGTGTAGAACCAACACAGGCAATTCTAGAAGTAGAAGGTCACAAACGCACACAAACTCAAACAGAAATTCACGTTATATCGGGGAACATAAATCAGGGGATGGGGGTCAGGAAAAGACACACACACACAGAGAGGGACAGAGAAGTAAACGCACAACACCGAGCACTCGAGCACAATAAGCTAGATCTACCCACCAACGCAAAAGAGCTCCAATTTACTCGGTGGCAATTGACAAAAAGTCAATTTTTGTCAATTGCCACCGTGTCATTCGGTGGCAATTGACACTACCATAGAAATA